TTCTTAACATAACTATATTGAATGCTAATTAGTTCTAAAATTCTCATGATAATCTGTTTAAACCTAATCAATTTTCATTCATATATATAAATATATTTTGTAATTAGATAGATACTCAAACATCATTATAAGCAAAACTTATTATGTTATATGAATGAAAATCGATTAAGCTTTAACAGATTATCATGGGAATTTTAGAATTCTCGTAATATAATAAAATATACTATAATGTTAAGATATTAAACTACATTATAGAATATTTTTAATATAAAAAATAAACTGGAAACTTTCGTGATTCGTAGAATATCGTATATGTGTCTTTGTTGCTCTTCCTCGTTGAGGATTCTGCTGATAAATAACAATGTTTTTTTTTTAATTACATCTAAACACATTTCTTCTAGTACAAGATCCTAGCCTAATCTAAAAAATAATTTAATTTATTGAAATTAAATTTATAGTGTTTAATTTCTGTTAACTCCGTTTCCTAATACGTTTAACTCCTTATAGTTTCATCAGTTTTATTCGAATTATATTACGAATAGTTTTTTAAATTTTTATTGTATATTGATCTATAAACATTACGATTAATTACCAGAAAAGAATATCCCCCCCCGAATAATATTCCAAATTCAATATCATTTGGATTATTCATGTATATTAAATTTTAGGATGTATAAAACAATTTTTTCAATTTACAGGAGTGTGAGAATTCACCCACTCCCCCATTTTTTATAATAGAGATAATGACAACTAGATATTTTTTCACAAACAGTCCTTCGAGAATAAATATATATGTATATTTATTTCAGAATGGAACATTAAATGATATAATCACTGTTTACATATTCATATTTATTTTCATGACATAGATGGTAGATTGAGTCAAATAATAAGCTAATGTACCGCCAAAAAAGCATTTGCCATAAAAGTACTTGTTTACTAACAACTAGATTGCTATTTGTTTTGTACTGACATGTCTTTAGTGAGCAATTTCATTACTCATTAAAAAGATGTATGTATTTTATAGATTTACTTGTGTGTAATTGATTATTTTGATTAAATTACTTATTATTTACATATAATTTTGTGCAAGTTTCATGTAATTAAACATTTTAGATTATATGGAGCAATATTTTTTAAATGAACATTTCTTGTAATGTATAATCACTATGAAAGAGATTTAAAATACCTGAATTAATTTTAAAGATTCATGTTTTCAAAAGTTTTACTTATCTGTTTTTTAAAGTATAAACAGATAAGTAAAACTTTTGAAAACCTTTACATATTAATGATGAAAATGTTAAAATTGATTCCTACAATATGTCATTTCTTTAAATAGAAAACAATGTTCTCACCAAATAAACAAATTTATTAAGAAACAATATAGTAAATTTATTTATACTTGTACTTTATTATAAAGGTGTAAGGAAAAAAAGAAAATTGTAATGATTCATTTATACACTCATGTCCATAAATTAAGGATAATGAAGTTCAGGCAAAGAAAGAGACAGAAGCAAAACAAATTTGACTTATTTGTAAAGTCTATTTATTAAACAAAAGGTAAAGAGCAAAAAAGATGCTATATGTTTGACATAATTAATAAAAATTGCGATTTTTACTCCCTGGAGCAAATTTCAAAAAAGAACCTATTTACCAAAAACAGTATAACATGGTTAGTATGATGGTTAATATGGAGTATGTCTCCCGGACGATGCAATACAGGCCTTACAACACCTAGTCATGCTGAGTATCAAATTATCAATCTGATTTTGAGGGATATTACACCACTCATCAAGCAATGCTCTCCGAAGTTCCGGTTGACAGGTGGGAGGGGGTTGACGGGCTACAATTCGTCGGCCAAGCATATACCACACATGCTCTATTGGATTCAAGTTCGGTGAGTATGCTGGCCAATCCATACGGGTGATATCCTCCAATTGAAGGCATTCGTCTACAATGTTTGCACGGTGAGGACGGCATTGTCATCCATAAACAGAAATTCAGCACTCATGGCGCCCCGAAACAAACGTACATGTTGTTCCAGAATGACATCCCGATAGATGTGGCCTGTCATCGTTACACTTTGAACATGCAGGTCAGTTCTGGAACCAAGAATAAGTCCTCCCCAAACGAGCCATCCTGCACCACCGTAACGGTGTCGTTCAATGGTGTTCTCTTGGTGGTAACGGGTACCTGGCGCTCTCCATATGAAAGTCCGGCGAGAATCAGACTGCAAACTAAACCTGGACTAGTTGGAAAACATCACACAAGACCACTGTTGCGATGTCCACAATGCATGCTCTCTACTCCAGGTTAATTGCAGGCGACAGTGAGTTGCGGTAAGTGGAATACATCTGACAGGCCTACGAGCATATAGACCAATGTGCCCTAAGCGTCTGTACACGGTCTGCCTTGAAACTGTCGTACCGGTAGCTGAAGAGAGCTGATGAGACAGGTCTGATGCTGTGTTCCGTCTGTTTCTTTTGGCAGTAACTGCTAAATACCGGTCCTCACAGGTGAAATTTTTATTTTAGAGTTCAATTTCTGTGTGATTCTGAATTATCCATAATTTATGGACATGAGTGTATATTACTACTTAACTTTTAATTTGCAGATATCAGAAAGATTTTTTTTAAAGTTACAAATTATTAACTTTTATACCATTACGAAAAATATTCATAAAAAGAAAAAAATTATAAGAAATGGAACAGGAAGTTGTAATCCAAAAAAAATGGCTAACAAATATAAAAATAAGCCAAATCTTTTAAAAAGTAACTAATATTAAGGAGGAAAATGAATAAAAACATTTTTCTTGTTATATGTTGTTTTCTTAAATAAAGAATAATTTTCAAAATAAACAAGCAAATTTATTAAACACTTATTCAATAGTACATTTAGTTTATCTATGTATATTTTCAATTTATTATAAAGCTCAATTCAAAATATAAAAAGTTCTATTCAGAAAAATAAACCCATACTAATATAATCAAGTTAAAACAATTTTTTAATTAAAAAATTGTATTTAAAAACAATTACAATTGCAATACTTTTAATAATTAAAACAAACATATAGCATTACTAAATATATATCTGAATCTAAAATCATGCAGCATTTTAACAAGTACAAATTACAGGTACAGGTTATCAATTTTAAATAGCCTTTTGAATTGCAAAAAATAGGAATGAAAAATAACTGAAATATCAATAAAAAAAGATTGTTAATTTGAAAATATCTGCATAATATATTTTTCATTAGCATAAACTTGACAGAGAATTTTTTCAAAATTAAAAATAAGCAATTATTAGAATTAAGTAAACATGTATATACATTTAATTACGTTATTTAAAATTACATTATTTAAATTATTATTTACGTCTAAACATAAAACTATATATTTTCAGGGAATAACTTAAGTGGGATTAACTTTAATCAAGCTTTTATTTCCACTCTAACTGGATTGGAAATGAATAGATGTTTTAGATGGAAAGAAAAGCAGATGTTTAAATTGAGACAAAAACAACAAGGCTAGTCATAAGAAAGCAGCTGCAAATAGAAATGTTCTTTTTAAAAAAAATTTTTTATTCCTTGCATCTTTTTATACTTCATTTCTTTTAACATTTCTTTCTTATACTTAAAAGAATAAATAATATATTTGTTCTTAAATGATACTATTGAAAATTCTTAGAAAGAAAAAAAAAATATTGTAAGAATAAAAAAAATAGTATATAACTTTAAAAATAGAATTGTGAAACAATTTAAATTAAACATTTATTACAATTGGACAAGAAGAAATATTTAAAAAGTAGTAGAATTCTTAATATTCTATGAATATTTGAACATTATTGAAACATATGGAGCTGCCTGATTGTCACATAAAGATGAATAGCAATTATCAAGTGGAGCATAAGCATATATGTGAAACATTTTGCAATTTTTTGTATTAAAAACATATAATTAAAAAAAAAAATGTTCTCTGACAAAAACGATTAAAATCTACATTTGTTAAATCTTTCTTATCGAGAACTGGGTATTTCCACTTCTGTATCATCACTCAGCTCCTCGCATTCGAGACCTCGTATTGGCGCTGTTTTAATTTATCGGAAGTGATAGTGGACGCTACGCAAAAACTCATTTTAAGCTTCCCGATATATTACCGTATTCTGATGACGCATGCACAGTGGAATCATGCGCCTGATAGCGGGAAAAGTGAAAGCGGGTGGCTTCCGCTATGCGAAAACTCTCTAGTATCTCATTCTCTGTAGAAAAAGAATTTACTTATGCACAATCCCATGCAAATAATAATAATTTTATAAGAAATTGTATAAATATGATTAAAGCTGTACTTCAATTAAAGCTGTACAATAATGAAATTTAAAATTATTATTATTTGAAACCTTTTCGTGTTTGCAAGCTAAATTCTGGTGGAAATTTAAGTAAGACATAATTATGATTAATGTTAAGGAATTTGTTGAAATGTAGGGAGTTTTAAAAGCGGTGCTATGATTTTGAGTGTGGCAGTAATTAATTTTTAACAGATGAATATTTGTTTAATTAAAGCAAACTCATAATCTCAAACTACTTTTACAAAAACAAGGTATTGAAATAAAAACGAATATATTAAAATTATTTTAAAACTTTGTAAGGTATGCTACCTGTTCTATAACGTCGGAGCAAATTTTCAGCAACCGACCACAATAATGCGTAACCAAGGTTAAGTAAAAAAAAAAATACTTATTTAACTCCGTCATTTCAAATATTGATGAAATTTGGCACAGGTAGTCTGCTTATAAAATAAAAAATTACCAAATTCTATTAAAATATTTACAGCACATAGTCCTGACTTGCACCACTGTAGAAAGACACCTCCACCGCCATGCTTTATTGTTCAAATTAAGTTCTTCGTATTAAGTTCCACGGGTCTTTTTTTTCTTCTTCTTCTTCATTCAATTATACGCCAGTCGGAACCAAACAATTATTTGTCACAACTATGATAATAACTCGAAGTTAAGCATCATTGGGCGCGGTCAGTACTTGGGTGGGTGACCACCTGGGAACACTGCGTGCCGTTGGCAAATTTGGGACCTGAATGGCCGAGTGTCTAGCGCTCTGGCGCTCGGTGCCACAGGTTTCGAGTTCGAATCCCGGCGGTGCCATGGATGTTTGTAGTGGTTCGGAATCCACTTTAAGCCGTAGGTCCCGGTCTCCTATGACTGTAAGAGCGTCACGGAGCAAAAGTCAGGCTTCTACCTACGGGTGCTCCATCACAACAGAAGCTGCTTCTTTCCCCTTCAATCATGAGTCCATATGGGCTTGTGGGCTTGGCCAGCCAAGTGGGATAAGAAACAACAACAACAACATAATAATAACTAATCCATTTTGGTATGGGGTTCCTTTCTATTAGGGGTCTCTTATATATAGAATATAACGAAGTAAGTAAGTAAAGATTAAAGCCAAATGATTTTTAAATGTCATCAAAATTTAAAAATAAAAAGGAATAGACGATCATTTTATTTAGGAATTTATTCAAAAATGTTTTGATGTACGAGCACTTTTGTGGCCTGTTTTTTCACTGCCTCCTTGCATTTTCATTTTAATAATAAAAAAGGGGTCAATATATATATATGTATATGTATTTTATATGTTCATTTCATTCAGAATCAAATCAAGATGATATGAAAACATTATTTTATGATCAAAGATGTTAGAATTTTTTATATTCGAATTCCATTGCAGACTACAGTCCTTTTTTTACAACCTTTTGAAGTCCACGAACATTTTTAGGAGCAACTGTACTTCAAATTATCGCCTAGTTAAGTGAAAGAAATCTAAAGAAAAGTTATTCTTTAAAATTAAATTAATTAAAATTAATCTCCAGAATCTGAACATCTTTGAAGACACTTCAAAGTAATTTTGAAACTTCAAAAGAAATTGCACACTCAGGTTGGTAAAGACTTTCGTGTTATTTAAGTTCGAGGTACAATATAAGCAATAGAAGTACTATGGAATAAATTAAATAAACAAATTGTGTATTGCAACGTAAATGAGTGAAATGAGCTAAATAATTACACAGTTTCTTAGTTATAGGCCGATTACTCAATTTAATAGTACTGAATAAATAGTTCAAATAACAAAAATAATTCAAAAGCACTTCAGAGTTGGAGGCCCAGTTCTAGATACTAGTTGAAGCTGGCAAATGCATTTAGTCTGGTAAGAATAATTTATAAACAGTAGAAAGATTCATTGTTCATTTGTTAGTTTTAATCTTATCATTTCATTTCAATTAATATAAGAATCTTAGTTTATTAATGAATAAAATAAAGAGTACATTGGCGTGAAACTGATATGGACCATTATCCCAATTCATACATTTAAAAAGATTTTCAAATTTTTTTACTCATCATGTACCGGTTATCCTAAAAATGACTTGCCTACTTGAAAAATGAATTAAACAATGGGGAGAGATAGAAATACACCATTTGCAGTACTGAAGTCAGTTTTTGTCATTATTTCAATTATTATAAAACAGTAAATTTTCAATTCAAAAACATTTTTCCAATCGGCCAGTCATTTTTGGAACACCCGGTAAGTGTGTCTTATTATATCCTTAACTTATTGAAATTTGCATTTGATCGATGGGTAAATGAAAAATTACTTTTTAATTAATTTATGAACCCACTCCTATTAAATTCTGTAACCTAATATAGAATTATACCGGGAATTTAAATTAATTTCTAGAATTTAGAAAAAGTTTTGAAAATGACGTTTTTTGAAAAGTTAAGTGAAGTTTATTTTGAATAACTTACATAATTATCAATTTTTTGACCCATGAACTTCTTGCAACTTTTTAATTATTTAACTTAAATGTAAAGCTAATCGTTTAATTAATTTTTTTTTCTGTATACTTTTGCACTGAAGACTCAAAATTCATCCAACCAAATTTCTTCAATCGAAAACCATACACCATTATAAGCCACAATATTAGTTTGTTTTTCTTATCTTAATTAAAATAATTTGTATGACGATTTCAATCTATGGCTATCTTGTGACAGAAGTACTTTAAGAAAATTTACATAATTGTATTTTCCAGACGATTTCGTTTATATATATATAGCAAAACTGCGTGTATTTCTTATTTCACATGTAGTAGACTTTCATCCAAATTTTATCAAAATCTGAGATGGTGAAATTTTTGAAAAGTTGAAGAGAAATGACATTTCTTTCAATTAATTTAATACATGCATTAATCAACTTATTTTTCAACCCTATTAATAGAAATTCTATTTGTTGTTATAATAATTGCACCCAGCGGCACCCTACTTTGCATGAAAGATTTCTTTTACAATCAAGCTTCATATATACTGACGGAAAAAAAATCCCAACACCAAGAAAAAATTATTGTAGAGTAATGAAATTCGAACAATGAATTTGTCTAGTTAACATGTTTAATTGATTCAATTTTAAAGATCACAGGCTAATTGAAGATCAAGAAAATGCATTTCAAATGTAAAAGTTACATTAATAGCCGGTGTGACCTCCAGAATTTTGAATTCAAGCCTGCAAACATGCATGCATTGTATCATACAGGGGCCGAATGTCATCTTGTGGTATGGAGTTCCATGTTTGCTGTATTTGTTTTGCCAATACTGGGACTGTCAGTACTGGCTGTGGATGATGCTGGAGTTGTCGTCCAATGATATTCCATATGTTCTTAATTGGAGACAGGTCTGGTGATCACGTAGGCCAAGATAATATGTTGATACTCTGTAGAGCACGTTGCGTTACAACAGCGGTATGAGGGCGAGCGTTATCCTGTTGGAAAACTCCCCCTTGAATGCTGTTCTTGAATGGCAGCACTACAGGTTGAATTACCAGACTGACGTACAAATTTGTGTCAGTGTGTTTGGGATAACCCCGAGAGTGCTCCTGCTGTCATAGGAAATTGCTCCCCAGATCATGACACCAGGTGTTGGTCCAGTGTGTCTAGGCCGCAGACAGTCTGGTTGCAGGCGTTCCCCTGGCCTCCTTCTGACCAACACGCCATCACTGGCATCAAGGTAGAACTTGCTTTTATCCAAAAACACAACAGATTTCCACTTCCTCCTCCAATGAACTCTGTCTTGACACCACTGGTATTGCAAACGGCAATGGCTTGGAGTCAATGAAATGTACGTTACAAGCGCCTGACTCAGAGCTGTCCTTGAAGTAACCGATTTCTAACAGTCCGTTGTGTCACTGTGGTACCAACTGCAGCTAGAATTTCTGCCGTAGATGCAGTACGATGCGCCACTGCTGTACGCCGAATACGGTGGTCTTCCCTCTCAGTTGTGCCACGTGGCCGCCCGTAACTCGGTCTTCTTGAGGCAGTACCATCCCTTGATCACTGCTCCCAACAATCATGCACAGTGGACACATTCCGGCCAAGTCTTTCTGCAATATCGCGGAAAGAAAATTCACCTTCTCGTAGCTTAACAGTTAATATTAGTAGTAAATATGTTTTATTGGTTTGAAATTCAATATGAATTATTTTATAATGGATTAGAAATGCTGTCCTCGGAATTCGTCTCCCTTTTTAAAATATTTATTTGAACCGTATGTTTAATGTAAAAGAACACATCCCATGATTCCTGCACTAAAGACCATGTATTTCGAACATATTACACAGCCATCTCATGAGTAATCAATTTTCACTTTTCGAATTAAGCAATGAAACAGAAATTGTTATGATGGTGATCAAAATCAAATTATATTAAGATCAGAAATGTGTGTAAAAATTTTTTTATGCCATAATAAATTCTCATGGTTCTGCTATAATAAATACTGAAAGGAGATTGATTCAACAATGCTTAAATAATAACAATAATAATAATATTTTTTCACAAGTCAAAATTTGTAAAAAAGATCTCCAAAAGGTTTATCGACATTGGAAATGCTTTTTTATTGAGTTATTAAATTAAAGTTATTAAATGTCTCAACAAAACATAACTAATATTTTTAAAATTATGCTGTTTCGTTCAATGGATGATATAAATAAGTAGTTATATTTGAATAACGACTTATGAATTTTCATCATAAATTTTCAATTAATTTTGTAAATTGTTACTACACTACTGACCATTAAAATTTCTACACCAGGAAGAAATGCAGATAACAAAATGATATTTATTGGACAAATATATTATACTGGAAATAACAAATGATTAACTTTTCAAGAAATTAAGGTCCATAGATCCTGAGAAATCAGTACCCAGAATAAACACTTCTGGCAGTGATAACAGCACTTATACGTCTGGGCATTGAGTCAGAGATTGGATTTCATGTACAGGTACAGATGCCCATGCAGCTTCAATACGATGCCACAGCTCATCAACCATAGTGACTGGCGTATGATGAAGAGCCAGTCGCTCGGCAACCATGGACCAAACGTTTTCTATTGACGAGAGGTCTGGTGAACGTGCAGGTCAGTGCAACAGTCGAACCTTTTCCGTATCAAGGAATGTCCGTACAATACCGAAAACATGCGGTTGTACATTATCCTGCTGAAACGTAGGGTTTCGCAGGGCTCAAATAAAGGGTAGAGCCACGGATCGTAACACACCAAAAATCTAACGTTCAAATTGCCGTCAATGCGAACAAGAGGTGACCGAGACGTGTATCCAATAGCACCCCATACCATCACGATAGGTGATGGGCCAGTATGATGATGACGAATGCACGATGCCGTCACACACGGATGCGACCATCTTGATGCTGTAAACAGAACCTGGTTTCATTTGAAAATATGACGTCTCGCCATTCGTGCGCCCAGGTTCGTCGTTGATCACACCATTGATAGCAAGACGTCGTTGATCGCAAGACGCCCCTGTCTGTGATGCAGCGTCAAGGGTAGCCGCAGCCATGGTCTCCGAGCTGAGAGTCCGTAGGCATTTCTGCTTCTTACACAAGGCATCACAACAACTTTTCTCCAGGCAACAACGTTCAAATGCAATTTGTGCATGAGAACCGGCTGAACAATTTCCTCATTTAAATACATTGTAGGTGTCACTACCGGTCCCTTTTTTGTCTGAATAT